AAAAAAAAAAAAAAAAAAAGCATACTCTAATTAGAGCCTGTCTGTTGTCAAATAAAGTGGAAGATGTATTCTTACATTATGGCTATTAATACAGCCAACTACTGTTAGCCTGTTTTTTCCCCTATTAAACACCATGATTATTGGATAGACAATAACATTTTTGTTTTTATTTTTTATACTGTTGTTGCCTGTATATCCCTTCTCTATTTTGATTTGATGTGTTTGCTCTTGGCCCCAAATCCTAATGCTATTAAACTGCATTATATTTCTAAATGATTCTTCATGTAATTTATCAGGTTGTTTTTAATTTTGGTTGGTGACCATACCTAAATTAGTATTAATTAGAAATATGAGATTATACTTAGTTCCTTCATCTAGATTACAAATAAAAATATTAAATTATATTGGCCCTTAATCCCTGCTGGGTAGCTCCAGTTAAGGGCATTAGTGTTAAGATCCCTTAGAATCTGATGTTCCAGCCAGCTGAGAACATACTGGTAAGTGTTCGGTTTGAAAGAATGTTTTTTTGAATGTTGAGGTAAAGATACTCTTTCTTCAAACACATTTTATGGCCAAAAAAAACCAGATAAAAGCAGAGATCCTGTGCTTGATACCATGCAGGATAGTCTAGAGGCCCATTATCTCTGTCCCTACACCCCCAGTCTCCTAGACAGCTGCTAGGTGCACCTGTACAGCACTTCTGCAGGGATTCCTTGGATGATGACCATAAACCTTTGTACTTAACTGCTAATTGGATTATAGTATGAAAAAATAGAAGTGTAACTCAGGTGTAATTAATGAAAATCTTTTTTTTTTTTCCTTTGAGGACTGTCCCTTTATCATAGAAGATAATAAAATTGATCTGGTATAATCTTCTTTCAAAGGTCAGATGTAATGCTGACCAATATCCTGAACTTAGAACTGCAAAACTTCATTTAGAATATCTAAAGAGTGTCAACATTAAGGCAATACATGTATAATTATGCAAGTTCAGGGAAGGCTAAGCTATGCTCTTGAGAATGTGTGTGCGTGTTACAGAATCCAGTCTTGTACCTGAATTTTCATGAGTGTTCTTCAGTGCTCTTGAGATGACAAAATACTAACTTAAGATCATAGCCTGATATTTTATAGTTTTACAAAAAAAAATATGATTATACTGGTCTTTAATATTTATTTTGATGAATAACTATGTTTGCCATTGTTTAGATTATTTAAAAAATTTCTGGGCTTCCCTGGTGGCGCAGTGGTTGGGAGTCCGCCTGCCGATGCAGGGGACACGGGTTCGTGCCCCGGTCTGGGAGGATCCCACATGCCGCGGAGCGGCTGGGCCCGTGAGCCATGGCTGCTGAGCCTGCGCATCCGGAGCCTGTGCTCCGCAATGGGAGAGGCCACAACAGTGAGAGGCCCGCGTACCGCAAAAAAAAAAAATAATAAATAAATAAATAAATAAAAATTTCTGAGTCAAATACTGTGACATTTACTATTACTAACTCCACTGGATGCAGTGTATGGACAGTTGAGTTTGTAGAATCTCATTCTTAACCTTGGAGAGTAGGAAGTATTAATATTTTTTATCTGTTTGGTGTTTAATATCTATGTGTAAATTTTACAGTGATTGAGAGATGTATGGTCAGGCCACTTAAGATGGCTGTTCTCTTGCTCTCTCTACGCACCTCCCCGACCAGTGACTGCTTCACCTGTGTCTTATGCGTGTGACTGACCTTCCTACATAATTGCCCCAGGCCCCAGCTAGTGATTGTTATTATTAAAGGCAGCTGTGAAGAGCATTCCCCTCTGCTGGTTTCCCTGGTAACTAATGAGCACATCTGAAATCAATTCCCATATAACTGGCAAACTCCTCTTTCTCCGGGAGTGAAGACGGCTGCCATGTCCTGTCCGTCTTCTGAAGCACACGGTGGGGTGTCGCTCCAGGACCTTGCTTCAGACGTGTAAGCTCCCCCATTCATTAAACCACTGATGTCTCTGTTGCTGACTCCCAGCTCTTTCTTCAGTCTTGAAGCTGGGCAAGCACAGGGCTTGTAGGCCTGTGCGGTGCAGCCCAGCAAGAACCCTAATAATATAATGGTTAAAACTAAAGCAAGTAACAA